TGTTGTGAAGGAGACAGAAAAAAGAGACAAAGGAAAGGCCGAGGCAGACAAATGGATATCTGAATGAGTTCACACTGAAACTCCGCTGCTGCTGCTGCTGCTGCTGCTGCTGCACCATATGTTCCTGCTGCAGCAGCAGCAGCAACAGCCGCAGCAACTGCAGCAGAACTAGTGCAGTCCCAGGGCAGATACAGAAGAAAGCGCAGCACAGCAGCAGCAGCAAGTCGAGTTGCTGCTGCTGCTGCAGCAACAACTGGATTTGCTGCTGCAGCAAGAGTAGCGTTTGCTGCTGCAGCAAGTAGGAGTAGCAGCAGCAGCAGCAGCAGCGGCAGCAGCAGCAGCAGCAGCAATTAGTGCTGCTATTTGTCTGGCGATGGCTTTGTAGGATATCACAGGGTATAGAGAGGTCAGCTGGCTTCTGCTGCTACTGCTGCTGCAGCAGCAGCAGCAGCAACAACAAATGTATGTGCTGTTTGTTGCTACATCTGCAGCAGCAGCAGCAGCAGCAGTAGCAGCAGCAGCAGCAGCAGCAGCAGCTTTATTTCAGCCATCACTGGTGTTTCTGCTTCTGCTGCAAGAATGCTGCTGCAGCCTCTGGTGTAAATGGCCAGGAAGGTGGATCAGCATATGTGTGTTGCTGCTGCTGCCTATCTGCTGCTGCTGCTGCAGCATCATCACTGCTGCTGCTGCTGCTGCTGCTGCTGCTGGTGCGGGGCCACTGGTTTGTATGAAAGTCCCAATCCTTCAGAGCTGCTGCACCCGTATGCTCCGCAGACAGCCAGGTGATCTGCTCTCCTCTCGGCCCCACAACAAGCAGACGCGGAATACCCATCGTCACCTGGTGGGGTTGTAACACAGGACCTGAGGATACACCCCACGCTGTATAGGGAGATATGTTAAGAAAAATATTTATTTCTCTCTGTCGCTGTATATATATATATATATATATATATATATATATATATATATGTTGTAGAGACAGAGACGGAGAGAGAAAGGAGACAGCAGGAGATAAATATGTAAAAGGAGACAGATATATACAGATAGAAGGAGACATATATATGTAGAAAGAAACAGAGACAGAAAGAAAAATACACACTGAAGGAGACAGAGAGAGACAGAGACAGAGACAGAGACAGAAAAAAACAGAGACAGAAGGAGACAGAGAAAGAGAGAGAAAGAGAGAGGAGAACACAGAGACAGAAAGAGATAGATATAGAAGGGGGCAGAGACAGAAAGAGAGAGACAGAGAGAGACAGAGGGAGACAGAGAGAGAAAGAAAGAGACAGAGAGAGACAGAGAGAGACAGAGAGAGACAGAGAGAGACAGAGAGAGACAGAAACACAAACAAAGACGGAGACAGAAGGAGACAAAGAGAGAGAGACAGATAACAGAAAACGGCAAAGACACAGACACAGAAAAAGAGACAGAAAGACAGAGAAAGAGAGAGAAAGAGACAGGGAAGGAGACATAAAAGGAGACAGAGAAGGAGACAGAAACAGAGAGAGAAAAGATAGAGGAGACAGAGACAGAGAAGGAGACAGAGATAGAGAAGGAGACAGAAACAGAGACAGAGATAGAGAAGGAGACAGAAACAGAGACAAACAGACAGAAGACAACAATAAAAAAAGAGAAAGAGACAGAGAAGGAGACAAAACGGAGACGGAGACAGCAGCATGCAGAGACAGAGACAGAGACAGAGACAGATGCAGATATAAAGAAAGAGACAGAAACAAAGACAGAGAAACAAAAAGATAAAGACAGAGAGACACAAAGACAAATACAAAGACAAAGACAAAGACAAAGACAAAGACAAAGAGAGAGCAGCAACAACGCCAACAACACCAACAACACCAACAACACCACCAACAGCAACAGCAGCAGCAGCAGCAGCAACATCAGCAGCAACAGCAGCAACAGCAGCAACAGCAGCAGCAGGAGGTAAACATACCCGTTGGTTCTACCTTGAGCCTATATCTATGAATAAGTTTATATCGTATAGGAGAATTATACTGAAGAGACAGCCAGGGCATGCAGCCCCGACTGCATGCAAACGTCTCCTCGTCTCCATCTAAACTTATATATATTACTTCTATCTTCGGAGATAAACCCTCAGAATTCACACTCTTGTAAAACTTTGAAACATACACACACATATATTTATTTTTATTTATTTATTTATATTTATATTTATGTTTATTTTTATATTTATTTTTATATTTATATTTATATTTATATTTATATTTATATATATTTATATATATATAGATTGTGTATAGATTGATAGATTATGTATATATATTATATATATATATATATATATATATATATATATATATATATATATATATATATATAT